ACCCCAGTACTCACATTCGGGTTTTCCTTTTTCCGTAATTACCTTATTGGTCCCTCCCTTACTCCCAACCTGTGACCTGGAAGATTCGACCCTGGCTAGGCTCTAAGTGCCTTATGCCTTGTCTCATTGTGGTACATGATTTTATAGCACATGTCTTTTTCCTCCAATTGGGTCCAGCAGTCTCCAGGGATCGCCCAGCCCTTGTCGTTAGGTAGAACCTAACTTCCAAATCCTAGTCACGATGGATGGCCACCCCGGTTTCCCACGCCAGCTAACTAGGTTGGTGTGCTACCCTTCTCTCCAATTGGTGGTCGAATTGGTGGATCCCTCCACTTAAAGATCTTGTTGTCGTTCGGTTCTCCAATCTCGGCTATTACTTCTAAATTTAGCCTTTCTGTAGCACCGTCGAAAGTATCGCTACCTCCTTACTTGGGTCTTTCCAAATGGGTTTTGATCATCCCAGTTTCTTGGCATTTCTGCGCCAAAGCTTTCATAACGAAATAGTACAACCAAGATTACCGATTGTAGATCTAACCGATCGATGGATAATCGTTACCTAATGCAGATTTATTTTTCGAAAAACGTCGTCTATGAGATTCGAACTCTGGACTTGCCGCTTGGTGAGGTGACGGCTAGACCACTTCACTAAGCCGCTACACCCTTCCAATTGGAATTCTTCAATATGCTCATTACGTAAAATTGCTATTAATAAGTTGGCATATAATAATATAAAAAGTTAACAAATTAAATATTAATAATATATTAATAATTTCTAAATAATTTATAAAGCCTAGATTCCATTATTTATTTTTCATTTAATTTTAATGAATACCCAATAAATTATACTATTAAATTTAGTGTTTAACTAATGACAGATCTATGCTCAATAAACAAATACCCGATTGAAATTCTTCATTATTATTATCATTATGTTTGTTACTTGAAATTGCTATTATAATTTGGTTTAGTTTATTATACATAGTTTATATAATAATAATAATTAATATAATAATTTTAATACTAACAATAATTATCATGTTAACTATATATATCATTATGTTGACTATCATCATTATTATAAATAGAACGATATTAAATAAATATTGTTAAAAATCGTTAAAATATCGTTAATTTTTACAAGCTTTGAACTCTACTTTTTATCTCATTATTTTTTTTAAAAAATGAAAAATACTGCAGAAAAAACAAAGCGTGGTCATCTACCAAAATCTTCAAAATCCCAAGAAATAGTTGCTAAATCTTCTTTGAAGATTCAAGCAAAAGTTTCAAAACCTTCGTCTAAAGCAAAACCTTTATCAAAAGTATTAAAAGCATCTAAATCTTCCTCAAAAAGTGCATCTAAATCTTCACAAAAAAATTCTTTAAAAAAACCATCATTTTATTATTATGAAGATTAAGATAAGGATGAAAATGAGGATGCAAATGAGGATGCAAATGAGGACAAAGATGATGAACTACATCAAAATCAATCTAATTTATTAATTTTTTTTAAGTGTTATTTAATTTTTATATATCATTATTCTTTTTAAAAAAAATATAAATATTATTTATAAATCCCCATAGTTGGGATGCAGGTACGGCAGCTAGTGTGGAACCTAGGGCAGACTACTTAAATAGGCAACCAAAAGTT